ACAGAGCGGGATGTTGCTCGTGTCTTTCATGTCGTGGGGGCGGTAGAGCGCATCGAGGTGGTTTAGAAGCCCTTTCCCCGCGTTCGAACACACGAGGTCGCTCGGAAAGAACGCCAGCGTTCCGTTCCGAGTCACGTCGACCGGCAGTGTCGCGTCATTGAACGTGTTTATAAAGTCAACGACGCATTGGCTCATGGCAACGACGATTGGGTGACCGCATTTGAGCGCTCCGACGAGCCGCGTTCGCGCTTCTTCCATGATCGCAGGTACGGGCACCTTGCGCATGCTCTTGTCCATCGCCATTTTCTTTCCATCAAGAAGCGTGCACTGGCGGTAGCTAAAGAAAGTGTTGACGCGGTCGCTGGCGTCGATCACCAGCGGCGTCTTGCCTCGGCCCACGGCGGCTGCGATCGCGTCCAGGAGCTGCGGCAGCTCAATGTGCACCGTCGACGCAGTGAATTTGGCCCGAATGGTGGTCGTCGCCGTCTCGTCCGAAGCTCCATCGGTGACGAGAGCTTCGTACTGAGCTTGCGCTTCGGCTTGGTCGGCGGGCGACAGAGCTTCGAAGCCGGCGATCGTGGAGACGCCGCTGCCCATGCCAGGCCAGGTCGTTTCAGTTGTGCTTGATATAGCAAGCACACGTGTGATTGGTCAAAATTTGATGCCAATCATGCGATCCACCAATCACGTTGCGTTATTTAAAAACATGTGGTCTTTAGGCGCTGGATTCGAACCCAGTGGTTCTACAACTGCGCTCGCTACATGTTCCATCTCGTATTTCGCGGCCCTGGAGATTACCACGATGAAGGTGTAGCAAGATGAACCCTTAATTAGGGCTCATGGTGTAGCAACGTCATTCCTTCTACGAAGAGAGCCGTAGGATTCGACAGCTGGTGCCGCCGTCTCGTGGCGCTGTAAGGACAGCGCCACCAGTCTGAGATCCGCAGCCACGACACTACACATCACGAAATGTGGGGGCTACAATTGCTTACGGTAGCATGCATGATGGTGCATCAAGGCGCTATGGCAGACACCGTGGCGCCGACAACATTACGACCAACCTCGACGCCGGCGTGGTCACCAGGTACCAACGTGACGGCGAGTCCCAGCCCGGCACCAAGCCCCGCCGCGACACCGACGCCAATCATGACACCTGCCATGACGACAACACCGACATCCGCGCCCTTGCCGCCGATTCCTAGTCCAACACCGTCGGCAAGCCCGACGATGCCACCATCGCCTTCGCCTTCGACACCGGCGCCTTCATCGAAGCCGCCGTCACCCGCACCCACAAGCTCCAGCGCCGCACCCTCCCCAATCACCACAACAAGGTTCCCTGCCACACCGCATCCTTCCGTGACGACAACAAAGCCGAAACTAACAACGACGTCCAAGCCAGCAGCAACATATCCGCCCGCGTCGTCAAGCCCCCCGTCGTCGACGCCATCAACGACCCCTACCCCTCCAACGACGGCACCGCCAACGACACCGCCAACGACCGTGACTCCCACATCGACGTCCTCGACTGGCACTACCACGAGTACGGGCATTACCAAAAACATACGTTCGTCGTCTCATGACACCAGTAGGTGGCCCCGATTCCAATGCGTCGGCGTCGACGCCGTGGATCATCGCCGCAGACGTCGCCGGGTGCCTCCTCGTTCTCTTCCTTCTCGTGCAGTACCGACGAGACGTCTTGCAGCAACGCAATCTGGCGACGAAAGGCGAGGCCACGTCCCCGACATATCTCCCGGCCGACAGCCCTTTTTGCTACGACGACTACAAACCGTCCGAGCTCGAGCAGGCCGAGCCACGCTTCCAGAGCTCCGAGTTGATCTTCGCCATCAACACGGGTGGGTACCGCGACAGCAGCGCGTCCCACGGCTCCAGCCACCGGTCCAGTGGGCTTCCGCGCGATGCGCTGAGTGCCACGAACCACCGCGCATCAAACGTGCACGAGGTCCGCCGTTCGGAGCACGAGGTGCGCAGTACAAACAGTCTTCTTGGAGCGCCGAGCAGCTGGGAGATGGCGTCCTCGTTCACCTCGTCCCTCTCTGCGTCGTCCGAGCCCGTCGACACGCCCCGGTTTCAAGAAATGCTCCACGCCGCCCGTGGTGGTCTCTTCAAGAGCTAGCGACGCCATGTGTCATCGTCCAGTTGTACAACTATAACGTCAATTGAGATTCAACAACTTGGCTCCGAACCTCCCAAAGAGAATGCCGGCGCTTCTCTCGTATAAACCTCTTACTCCTCCTCGTTCTACTCGTGCTGCATTTCTCACATACCGTTGCAGAGCTTTCGCATGCGTTCAAAGCTTCCTCTAGCACTGCTTTCATCAACCAGACCACATCCAAAATGCCCCATTTCGCGTCGTCGTCTTAGCAGGACAGAAAGGGCTAGGCGTCGGTTACGACGGCATCAAAACGGCCGGCATGGTGGACCGACGCCCGACCGTGCAGCCGGTGCCGGTGCCCCGAGCTCGCTCCAAGCGCCACGCGGACGACGTCAAGGTGCTCGTGTCGGTCAGCAGCATTCGGTTGCGTCGTGGCAGCGAAACCAAATACGAACTCTCGTTGTCCAAGCCGCCGCTTCCCGTACACGACCTTTCCACACCGCTCGGTGCTCACACCATGTTGCTATCCTAGCACCACTGCGTCATCGTATCGATTAGCTTTCCCAACGTGCCTGGCATTTCCGTGGTGCCCGCCGAGGTACCTTGGCAGCCATGCATGCATTTGACGATCCATTCGGCGTAGGTCATGTTTACATGCGCCACCGCAAGCCGCACGAGATCCAAGTCCACGCCACAGACGACGTCGACTTGCAGCGCGTCAAGCTCGAGCACCGCGTCAAGCGCACGAAGCACTGCGACACCCGGTATATGTCCTGTGCCGTGACCACCCTCACGGTCCAGATCCTCCGAAAAGACTCTCTCTTTGTCTTTACCTTTGGCTCCAACTTGCACGGGCGACTCGGAACGGTGACGCCGATCGCTGCGTGCACGCCGACGCCGCTTCGCTGCAAGTGGCTCTTCCCCGTTCAAATCGCATGTGGCCGCGAGCACTCGGCCATTGTCGACATCAACTCGCACCTCTACTGCTTTGGTAGCGCGATGCTACATGTACAAGGAATCGATTCATCTCACGGAAGGTAGGACGGGGCAAGGAAGGCCAACTGGGTCAGTCCCACGTCGACAACGTCCGAGTGCCGGCCATCGTTGCTTCACTCGCGCAGCATCAAGTATACCACCGCTCGAGCATCCACATCTGGATCGCGTCTGGATCTAGGTCTTTCACGTCGCTTGTGGCGCCAACCACACGCTTTGCTCGGTCGACGGTGGCCGCGTGTTCGCGTGGGGTGATAACACCTACGGCCAAGTACGTTTGCCATCTATCGCGCATTCGAGTCGAGCCTTCTCTGTTCTAGTTGGGGGTCGGCTTCAAGGCCAAGCAGTACCACGTCCCGATCCACGCCAAGCACCTTCCGTGCGCGGCGAGCTCGATCGTGTGTGGCGGTGACCAGTCGTTTATCATCTCGCAGTTCCACCACGTGTATGTGGCCGGGTGCAACCTCGCGGGGCAGCTCGGACTCGGCGACATGGTCACTCGACGGCACTTTACACTCAACCCGCACCTGCAGCATACCGAGCGCCTCGCCGCCGGCACCTACCACGCGATCGCCTCGACGCCGACGCAGGTGCTGGTGTGGGGGAACGCCGCCAACGGACGGCTCGGTCTCTCAAAGCCTCGGACGGATTTTATCACGTCCCCGACACCGCTCGAGGTGCGCTACCCTCTTCAGCGCGTCCCCTCCTTCTCTCAGATCTCGTTGTCGATATATGTTTTTAGATGTTTGCCGACGTTCGCGTCAAGGAAGTGGCCGCCGGTGGGATGCACACGGCGCTTCTCACCCAGGTGAACAAGCCGCCGCCTCGATCCTTGAACGATCGATTTTGAATGCCATAGGCAGGCGACTTGCTTCTCTGGGCGGTAACAACTACGGTCAAGTGGGGGATGGTACGACGATCGATAAGCCTCGGCCCGTGCCCCTGCGCCTCTTTGAGGGAAAATGTGTTCGCGCCATGTACATAC